GGGGGGGGGTGGGGGGGGGGCGGCGGCCGTAGGTGATGGTCAGCGGGACGTGAGCAGCGGCAAGGCAGGGGCCAGCCGGAAGGGGGGAAGGGGGGCGCGACCACAGGTGAGTGGCGCCGGCGGGACAGGAGAAGCCGCAAGGCAGGGGCGGACGGGTAGGGGGGAGGAGGTCTTGGGGTAGGGAGAAGCCGGCAGGACACGGGCAGCCGCCGAGCATCGGGCGGAGGGGAGGCCTGGTGGAGAACCAAGCGCCAGGGGCGCCGGGTGCGGCGCAGCAGAGCGAGGCGCGGCTCTGGGGTTTGAGGGGGCTGTCCAGTGCAGAGGGGACAGGGGTGTTGCAGGCCGAATGCAGAGCGCGGGCAGCAATCATGTCGTGAGCCGCCCCCGCCCAGACGGCCGACAGAGACCAGCGGCGCACGCCAGCACGCACGGCCGCCGGCCAGGCACGGGGTGTTCCCCACGCGGGTGTGGGCGGGCCCCGTTCCCACACCAACGCGTCTCGACGCGCGCCCTGTGCCGCCTGACCCAGCCCCCGCACCTGCACTCCCAGCAGGATTTGCTTCACTGTGATGGACGGCTTCCAGCCCTCGTCCTGAGGAAATTGCAAGCAAACAAGACGGCACGCCAGCGGCAGCGTGAGCACGTCCGAGCGGGGGTTTCTAACCCTGGCGCGCGCGATCAGCAGTCTCGGCCGAGGCGGCGGTGCAGTGGTGCGACGATCAGTCACACCGCCGCGGGCCGACCGCGCAGGGGCGGCGACGCCGCGAGGCGGCATCCTGCTCTATCTGAGGGGTTACGGCGCACCTCATTAAGGATGCTGAGGCAGACGGTGCCGGACGGGTAGATATTGGGGTGGAAGAAGGCCGCCGGGAACTTGCACTGGCGGGGCGGAGGGGAGGGGGGGCCGGGGCGCGGCACGTGGGGTGCCGGGAAAAGCGGGGCCGGCCGGGAAACGCTCAGGGTGCTCCGGGTCGGCGGCCGTGGCTGTCGCACACAGCTGGGGCGCGCCTGGGCCGCACGTCGGTGCAAACCCCACCATGCATCGCGCGCATACACACAAACACACACACACACACACACACACACATGCAGCATGATCTCTGGCACATGCGCACAACACACACACGCCCGAACAGACACACAAACACACACACACGTGTCCGCCCACGCGCATGCACCTGCGCACGTCCTCACCTTTGGCGGCTTGCTGGGGTAGTCATCAGTAAACTCCATTGACAGAGGGTAGAAGCCGCCCTCCCAGTCAGTGCCGGGCTTGCCAGGAATGAAGCAGTTCCACTTCATCAGGTTGGTGCTCCTTGGAGGTGGTGGTTGGGGTGGCAATGGAGCAGTGACGCCGTGAGCGACGTGCGGTGGTACGGGCCCTCCGCACTCGGGAGAACCGCACGTGTCAGCGCACCGGCCGGGGCAGTGGGCAGGCATGGGTAAGGGGTTGAGGTGGGTGGCAAGCATGGCAGCAGATGCACGCCCAGGGGGCGAGGGCAAGCCAGCATAAAGGGGATGTAGGATGGAGGCAGCTGCAGGGCCGGCTGGCCCCGGCTGCTTTGATCAATTGAACGCAGCCGCACCACGGGGTGACAACCGCCCCTCCTGTAAGCCGTCTGGCGGCATCGGCGGCCACGTGCAGCGCGCTCACCCGTCTGGGAGCGTCTCTGGTCGTGCATGGAAGCCGAAGGGCTTATCCTTGCGCCAGTTCTTGCGCTCCTCCGCCAACCGGGAACGCGCCACCCCCGCCATGGTGCTGCGCTCACTGCTCCTCGCTCAGGCAGGCTCCGGCACTGCCGCAGGCCCTTCAATGGGCTGGCGTCACGCCCAAGATACAAATGCGACGACTGCCGAGGCAGCTGCGCGCAGGCAGCAAGATGGCGCGCTACGTGTGCAAAATCACGATCTACTGCTGGACCAGGTGCTCAGCAAATGCGATTTGTAATATCTTCGAGCGTTTGGTGAGCTATTCGAAGCTTGCGTCAGCGGCTGTCTCAAGTTCGAAGCTTTGTAAAGCGAAAGATCACAGCTGGAGCGGGAGGTGGGTCAAGAAAGCGCAGCGTGAGCGAATGAATTTGCGTCTAGTGTTGGTGTCTACCCGCTGGGCTGGTATGATACCGGTATGTGGCGAACGGACAGGCGGAACAATTGTTGCCTTGCAGCTGCGTCGCACGTGTCACCGTGCACGACATTGACCCATACTTCCTCATCTACCGTACACGCCTGTTGAACCAGAGGCTGCCACGGTCAACATGAACCTCCCAGTCATGCGCCATGCCTGCATGTGCGCGCGTGGCCTTGCTCAATGGCAGCCAAGCGCACAGCGCAAAGAGCTGAGGGCAGGGGCCGACGCTGATTTTGGTCAGGCAAGCGTGACTGCGCATCCCTGTCTATACCTGAGGCATCCAAGCCTGAATTGTTCTGCTAGGAAAACATTTTTGTCGTCTGAGGTTCATTGACAGGCGTTGCTGAGGTCGATCAGTCCCTTGCTGATTGCATCGCCAGCTCTCTCAAGCAGACCCATGATGAACAGCGGGACAAAAGGAATACGGTACGCGTGCCACAGCTTGGTGTAAACAAGGAGTACAAATGATGACTGATTCAAAGCTCCTGGCATGCTTCTCACATCTTCTCAGCCCAGACCACCACAGTACTGCCAACAGGTTGTTGCTTCCTTTGAAGGTCTGACCAAAAAAATCACCAGGTCGAACCTCGTGATTTTTTTAGGATGTGTCACGCCAAACCGGGCGGAGTAGCAGTCCTTGCAGTGTGCGCATGCGCCCCTTCTGAATCACTGCTGTCATTTGAATGAGGATGCACAGGCTTGCATCATCAGCTCGCCATCAACAAGGAATGAAGGATTGTCAAGATCCGTCCAGGTGAAAGGCACGGCTGCATTGCATGCATTCACAGTGTGTGCAGCGAATCCGCCACCCTGCTGACCGTCCTCCCTGCTGTACATGATTGTTGTATGTGACTCAAGTCAATTGATTGCTGCAGGAATCACGTGGCCCGCAAATTACCTCACGCATGCCATCACTGCACAGCCTGCTGTACGTGCAAGCAACTCGTGCATGGCACCAAAGGGCTGGCAGGAAAGGGGCTTGCAAAGCAAGGTGAAAGGACTGTGCAACATAGTGTATGCAATGTATGCAGGCGTGAATAGTGCAACTGCATACCAAACCTGTGCAATTCTAAATCGCAATAGATACAAGCGATGAGATGGGGCGCTGCGCACACATTCGATATGCATGGTCAAAGTCAGCGCCTGCCTGGTCCCCGCTGGACCTCTGAAGCGCTCTGCTGCTGCATATGATACGTATTCTGCTCTCACACAACCACAATGTACGGTCAAACTTGCAAACCATGCTTCATAACGCGGCCGCACAAGAAAACAAGTCGCACCAAAAAGTAAGTGGCAGGGTCTTTGTCACCCACACACGCGAACCATTTCGCCCCAGCTGTGCTGCGCAGCCCCCTCTGTCAGGACTCCCTGCAAGCACTGCAACGCCGCGTCGCGTGCCCCTGTACCACACAGCAGCTCAAAGCCAACCGGCCGGCCCTGCGGCGGCCGCCGCCACCATCCTGAGCGCACAGCGGCTCCAGCGGCGTTGGCATGAGACACCACGAGCAGCCGACCCTCCCACACCTGCGTACCCGGCCACAGCTCTGGCAGGGTCCCCACGACCGCCGCCGCCGTCGCGCGTACAGCCTGCGTCGCGCCGCCATGTCCGCGCTGCAGCAGCCCCGCCGCGCCGCCGCAGGCGTCGGCGGGGG